CATTTATGAAAAATTTTACAATAAAATATAGCAACAGTATTCAATTTTTGACTTTTTTCTATACCTTTTTACCAAGAAAAACAACCCTTTACAGTTAAGTATTTTTATACATCTTTTTATTTTTTTATTTATTTAGGACATTTAATTTTTTTTTAAAGTTTGTAAAAGTATATTTTTTGCTAAACATTGCTATTTTCTGAAACATTTATGCAATAATTTTCCTTGAAATGTTTCTCTACGAATAGTATATTATTTACCTTCACTTTTATGTGAGATGTTTTAAACATAAATATACATTTATAACTGTTAATTAATTATTGTACCTTTTATTACTACGTACTATACTTTTTTAGATTACATCGTAATTTTTGGATTTAAATTTAACTCGTGACTGTATTTACATTTATGTAGATTACTCCCTCTTGACATTGTAAATAATATGATTTAGTCATTGTATTGAAGTAATTAATAACAAAGTTTGCAAATAATATACGTAATGTAGGAGTATTTAGGTGCTGTTAAATTAGGCTTTTCGTTTTAAAGTCGTCGAGGTTTGTATTAGCAAAACTACATCGCAACGATCGACGACAAGGTTTTTAAAAGCAATTTATTTTTAACTTGATGTGACGCAAAAACTACTTAGGTTTTTCGAAAGTATATGTAGTAAACGAGTTTACTACATAATATGTTTACGTTTTAATAAAGTCTTCATTTTTAAAAGTAATTTGGTAAAATGATTCGATATTTTTCAAACCTTCAACCACAGGCTCTATTTTTCATAAACTGTGATAGTTATAAACAAAAATTAAAAATATTGATTATCTTGTGTAACTATTTTCATCAGTACCTACAAAAAATATAATAAGTAATTGTCATGGGCGTAGATAGGTAGGGTCAAGGGGGTGGCACTGTCCCCTTCAGCAAGCTCATTCACCCCCTTGGAATAGGCTCTGAGGAGTCACAATATCGGCACAATGTTTGAACATACAAACCAAACACATTAAACCTATATAAACTTACTGCTATTGAAAATCTGCCCCCTTCGTAGGAAAAATCTCTCGTTACGCTCATGGTAATTTTTATTTTATTTTTTTACATCGCGAGTAATGAAGCATTTGTAAATGTCGAATGTCAAAAGCTTTTTTTGTAAAATAATTTCTTTTCCGGTTTGTAGCACTCCTGTAATACACCCTGTTTCCTGTATACCTAAGGTGATCATATTTTTTTATTTCAAATCCGGGACGGGAACTGGTAGCNTATTGGAGTGCCTCTAGGCACCTTACTGGGACCATTATTATTTTTAATATATACAGCTCGATCAACGAATCTGTAGCCGCGACAGAGGTATGCCCAGTGGCAAATTGGAAGGGATTTGACTAGAAGTCAAATTAGTGTAATATGGAAAGCAAGTCATAACCCTAGAACGAGCCGAGAAGCATATCGGTCAATCTCTACTCTTTTTCCCGCTTGTGCGCATCTCGCGACTTCAGATTCGTTGGTCGACCTGTACCTATTAATAAGGTGATCATATTTTATTATTTCAAATCCGGGACGGGAACTTGTAGCGAGGGGGGGGTTGTTAATTCAAATAACTTAAATACATAACAAATACTATTTAAGGATATAATAAAAATCAGTATTACTGAGTACAAAACTTTTTATATTTTTCTGAACTATGGATCTTTTTCAGTAGGTCTTTTTTACTTTGAAGCATTGTATAAAATTCTGTACACTTTTCTTCATAATTAACTTTAGTAAGTAATATCACTTTTAGTGTGTCTATTTCAAGTCAAGTCGTGTCACTTGTCCAAAGGCTATTAATTAAACAAAATATTCTTTCTGTAGAAGCATTTGTGCTAGGCATGCAGAAAAAGAACTGCTGATTTTCGTAAATTTGAAAATGGAAGTTCACGATTATTAAAGTGAGAGACCATTCAAATTTTGTAAAAATAATTTTAGCTGAAATATATTCAAAATAAATATTGAAAATAAGAACCTTTTCGGGACAATCCGGGACAAAAAATCTGAATCCGAGACAAATATTGCTTCTAGAAAAATCCGGGACGCAAGGTGGAAATCCGGGACTGTCCCGGCCAATACGGGACGTATGGTCACCTTATGTATACCATTAGTCAGATTTTTGTAGGTAGTTTACGTTTAATTATTTCCTAATATTTCATATGTTGATATTTTCCAAATTTTATTGTCATATTAGTTTCCTTCTTTAATCTAAAAACGTCCAGGACATTCAGCTCTTCCTTAGCAATTCTCCTAATAATTTTATTTCAAAAATAATAATTCAGTTATAGCGTTTATTTATTTTGTATGGTGTTTGTTCAGTGGTGTAAATTTTACGTTAAAATTGCAATTTTTAAGCCAAAAAGAGGTTCCATTTGGGATTATTTTGTTGATATTAACGATGCAAGTGCCAAATGCAAAATTTGCAACAAAATATTCACGAAAAGGGCGCGAGACCACCGTATTAAAGAGTCACCTAAGAGTCTGCCTCCGCAAAAATTTACTATTTACTTCTGTTTGCGTTATGACACTTGCGTTGCATAGCTAGTGGAAACTACGCAAAAGATCGTAAAGTCCGTTCCTAATACGTTAAAAGAGGGAATGTTGCTCTTTTGTTCTTGAAATCAAGGAAAAATGTCGTACACTCGGCATGGGTTTGATAAAGAATAGTTTTCGCTTGAGTATAGTAATATTTTAATATTATTGAAACATTACGTATTTCATGAAAAAATAATGATTATTGTATTACTTTCTATAAAAGTGGTTACATTTTTTTATTGTTCCTAAAAATGATTTAGTTGAATGGTTACACACTCTCTAAACGTTTTTCACAGCTGATTTATGTATATATAAAAAAAATGTTTGTGTAAAATTGGCTGTTTTATTGTTCTCATGACGCTATTCAACCGCAAGTAAATAGCTATCAAGTGATTCTTTTTTCTTTTAAATTGCAGAAAGAATCGCTTTCTGACGTCCAGTTACACCTGGCAGCCATGCGTGGCAATTTAGACTTGTTGAAACGGATCCTCGACAGTGGAAAAGTTCATGTTGATTGCAGGGACAAGGTAAATATGCTAACATTACATTCCAGAAGTATTCATAGGATGTTCAATGCTTTCTATTTTACGGTAAACGTGATTAATTCGATGATTTAGTATGTATAATTGCCGATTATTATATAAATATGATTACCATTAAGTTTGATGAATTACTGAATATTCGGTAAACAAAAGAAAGAACATGATTATCTCAATACTTACTTCGTTAGTGCTGTCTTTACCTTATAATTCTATGCAATCAAATAAAAGTATCGAATTTCTCAAGGTAAATATCATAAGTTTACAGTGGATAAAGACAACACATTAAAGCAATGCGCAATATAAAGTTGTCGGATAGTTTGATATATATTTAAGAATTCATCACAATTATTTACGGTAGGTAAAGACAACACGAACGAAGTAAGTCCTTTCTTTTGATTATTGCAATGTGCAGTATAAAGTCACCGATTAATTTGATAAATATTCAAGAATTGATCATATTTATCAGTGTCATTATATGTAATAACTGGCAAATTATACAAAATCACTGGATTACCATAATAGCATTTACCGTAACATCTATAACTTCAAAACATCAACCACACATTCAAAATCTTATCATGAAAATGTAATTTCTAATGGATTAATTTCTACGTTTCAATGATTTTTAATAGGTACCTTTCAATTTAATTGATTACATGTTTCAGTTCAGTACTTTTTTTTTAATTCTCAATCAATTTATTTACCAGTACGGTATATCAATTTGCTATTTATATACGAAAAATGATTTACGTAGCTCGGTACTTACGGTGAAAGCATTCGAGATAAATAAAAGGAAGTGGTCAATAATTAATTAGTTCAATTAAATGATTTTATTTGCGATTTCATGTATTACTCCAGTTCACCGTGAGAACGTGAACAAACCAGGAACAAACTCACGGATTAGTGGTCAGCGTTATTTAAATAATAAACAGTGCTATTGTCACAAATGAAAACCTTGACAAAAAAGACTATTTGCAATGAGAAAAAAGTTAGTTTTGCCCAAAAATAGAACTTAACAACACATCTGCAAAATTTGATTTGACGAAGGTGCTAAAAATTAATAGTGAAACAAAATAGACATTACACTCAGATGAAAATAAAATTATTCAATTATCATTATAATATTTAGCATCAGTTTTGTTTTACTGCTACCAAATCAAATTTTACAGACGTGTCTCGTACAATTAGTTATTTGTAAAACTAACATTTGTTACACAATAACTTTCGAATAAACAATAAATTAATATCATAAATGAAGATGTTTTTGATTATTTTGAAAATCTACGATTTGAAAATTAAATTCAGCTTCACTAATTTCTGGGACAAACCACTTACGACTGGACAAAAATATGTGCATTATTTAAATTTGTTAAATTAGCTTGATAAATAGCATCATCAACTGACGACTACAGATCTTTCTCATCGAAATTTAAACTCTGTATGCATTTATTTTACAACTTGACTCTAATAGTAGATAAAATTTGTGCTTCTATTTAGCATATATTTGCACATTGGGCATCAACATACAATTAAACCTTGAACTGCTTTTTTTACCATCTTGACCACCGTTAATAAATCGCAATCGCCACGTAAACAAATTTTATAGCAATTTGACTCTCAAGAATTTCTATAGCTAATTTATAATTTACGAAAAACAAAAAATTATATATGTGGCAAGCAAGTAATTAAAAAACAAATTAATACATTTGACCGTGAGAGTTGAAATGGTAAACTCATATTGGGATAAAATTGAGAATAACAAGAAAAAATCTAATTTCTTGAACAACAAAATTTAATTATAGAACGCGTCAAGTCAGTAATTGTTTGGTACACAACGGAAGATAATAATATAATGAAGTTATTAAAATGAAAATTGGAGCGGTGATTAAAAATTGCTGTCACGCCTGAAAAAAATTAACAACTTTCGAAAGTAAAGCTGATGCTAACCAGGTACGANACAGAAGAAGTTAAAAGACAAGTAGCAGACATTGAAGAACGTCACAGGGAACTTTTGAAGATAGAAGAACAACTTACTGAAGTCAGGGATTTATTTACACAAATTGCGATACTGGTCCAAGAGCAGGTATGTAGAAAGGCATGGTGAAGCGCCTTTTGGACCTCCTCTTACGATCTCACCCACCCCCATCATCTAGACATTTACCAAAAGCACCAACTTTCCCAACTTTTCGTTACCTGTGTGTATATATATATACCAAAATAGATTGATTGTACATAAAATCTCAAAATTAATAAACCGAATATTTATAAAAATATGTATGTACAATGTACGTATACATAAATTTGAAATTTAAAGTTTAATTGCACTAAACTTAATTTAGGTTCTAAATAATATAATATTTGGTTTTTAATCTACAATTGCATTCATTAATAACTTTAAATGTTTTACATTGAAATCAAACTGACAATTTTTTCAAAATTATTTCCCTTGGGTAAATGCCCGTCTCCCTGACCCGAACTTTTTCGCTTAAAAGTTTCTCAAAAATACGCCCATTCTAATGACGAAAGTCACNAATTATAGAACGCGTCAAGTCAGTAATTGTTTGGTACACAACGGAAGATAATAATATAATGAAGTTATTAAAATGAAAATTGGAGCGGTGATTAAAAATTGCTGTCACGCCTGAAAAAAATTAACAACTTTCGAAAGTAAAGCTGATGCTAACCAGGTACGACATACGTATGTGCCGAGAATTAAAACTTTTATAATAAATAACTTTCATGTGGCATATCATGGATTTCCATACCTTGGAAATCGTAATTATGGATGGTCAGTAGGAGATACGATCTCATAAGTCCAAGCTCTCAATTACCCGACAAGCCTATACAAAGCTCCTTACAGCTTTACACTCCAGAATTTATTTTAGAGGATAAAAACAAGCCAGAGCATAAACGACACACACTAAAAACGCTTTTTTGTTCTGTGTAATTTGTAATATTTTTCTTTAATAAAGAACCTAAAGATTAATTAGTTGTTTATTAAAACAATTGACGTATGCGACTATAGGAAGGCACCACTCCACTTATCCTTGCTGCTGCCAATGGACATTACGATTGTGTCAAGGAATTGCTTGAACAGGGTGCTGATGCTTCACAGAGAAGGGTGGTAAGTACTTTATTGTGACCACAATAAAGTAGGTTTAAAAAATGCATTTTTTTTTAATAAAATCTTAAAGAGAAAAGAAAATATTAAAAAACTGCCGGCAGTTGTAAAACCCTGTGTATTACTATTCATGCATTTTATAAATATAATATTAAAGTGAAAATTCATTCTCAATTTTTATGAACTATAAATTACCTCACATTAGCGAAGAAAAATTGCTGTTGTTATTACGCCCTCGCCGGGAATAGAACCTGGAACCTATCGCTTAATGAACCAATGCTCTGTCCACTAAGCTACGAGAGATGACAACAGCAACAATCACTAATCGTACTTATTAGTTCAGAGAATTTATAGTGGACAAAAATTGTGTTTCATATAGTAAATTATAAGTATAATATTTTTATTTTACACCTCATCATCATAAGGTCGTCAGTCCTAAGACTGGTTGGACACGCACCTTCATTCCTTCCTATCCTAAGTTAATCTTCGCAATTCCCTAAAATTGAAACATCCTTTATCCTTAACAATTTGCGAACTGTAATCTAATCTAGGTCTACCTCTACTCCTCTTAATTCCTCTAATTAACACCTAATTGACTTTTTTAAAATTTTTTTAACTTCTTCAGTTAATTATTTATGGGACATACATCTGATTATTTGTTTTGGTATTCAAAAATTTAAATAAACACAAAACAATGAGGTACAGTAACTTTTTGGTTACCCACGTATTCGCAAAAATTTTAGCAGTTAATTCAAAAGCAAAATGTGACTAGTTGGATTTCAAACAAAGAACTGATCAAATTATTACAATATTAACCCAATAATGTTGACTAATTATAAGTCATGGCCATGTCATGTGCCAATTTATTAAAGCAAATCAGAAACGTTTTTAGAAGCACACCCTGATTATGCATACAGTAAAAAAAACTATCTACTTGATTAAATATTCAGATTTTAAAATTAGCAAATATTTACAGAATACGATTAATCAAAGTCAGTAGGGGATGATAAGTTGGTTATTCTTATAAAACCAATAGCCTACGTTTCGCCCTTATTTACACAGTTTTTTGGTCAACTGATAAAGTCCTGAAAGGGCGAAACGTCGGATGCTGTTATAATAGATAAACATGTTTTCAGCTACATTACTATATTTACACCTTTAATTGTATATTGAAAAATCATTTAATAGTGGATGATTCTGTCATATAAAAAAACATTTATGCAAAATTTCAAGTTGTACCTTGATCAATACGTCAAACTTTGAACCTTCTTATCACCCCTTTAGGGGTTGAATTTTAAAAAATCCTTTCTTAGTGTTCACCTACGTTGTATAAGTCGATTCAAAGTCCCTAAGCCGGGGATTTGGGCTGTGCGTTGATATATCTTTCAAGATAGATAAATGTATTTATTTTTTTGCTTATAGAATCGTAAATTTGGTTAAGTTCTCTGCGTTTACCCCATTTAATAATTTGTAAAATGAATTAAGAATCCTAAAATCTTCATGCTCCACATTTTTACTAATTTATAGTACAAATTTAATTCATTTCAAAAATATGTTTTAGACTGGAACAACAGCCTTATTTTTTGCTGCTCAAAGTGGATTTCTCGATTTGGTTCAACTTTTGTTAGACAACAAAGCCCCAGTTGACTCCATCAGCGTGGTAAGTAGGTACCGTAAAATTACTTAAGATATTACCTTTACCTCATTGCCATAGTCTGTGTAATTGTCCCACATATGATCTCTCAAAGTTGTTACTATATTTACAATATATATATATAGTAGTGCTTTATAGATGANTTTAAAAATAAGTACCTATACACGTGTACTAAAACTTGTGGTAGAATAATAGATTCGAAACAAAGTATCTATAAAATTATTGAATACCTCGTTATTTTTTTTTATGAACAATGATTTGTGGGAGAAATAATACAAAATCCAGTTGAACAAAAGTGGTGCAATTAAATTAAACTTTTCGCCAAGTAATTTAAAATTAATGAGCTGAATTGTTTCATTGTGATGAGCAAAACTTAAGCGCCTATTAATTTCACTCTTTTCAGAAATATATTAAATAACTTAAGTAGGTTTTAGGTATTAATTCAAGATACAGGGTGTTTTAACGGTTAACACTTTTTTCGAAATTCTAAATTAACCATGAACAGAAATGAATTCTTTTTTTTAAAGCAACAAGACCCTGCGCTTTTCTTTGTTTTCTATCTGTAGCCTTTTTTTTAATTGTGATTTTTATAATAGCTCTAACTAGCTCTAAATCTAAATTATCCCTTGGATATTTATATTTTTAATTTCTACTCCAAAAACGCAATAGATTATAACCACTTTCAAATATTTTTTTAAAATTACGAAAGCTTGGTAGAATAAAACAATAGAAAATCAATTTAAGAAAAATAATAGCCAAAAACAATTGTTTGTTACATTGACTGCAATTTTTTTTATTCTAGGATGGGGGAAGTCCACTATTTGTGGCATGCCAGTGTGGTCATATGGATGTGGTGAAGCTTTTGGTGGAAAAAGGGGCTAATGTGAATGCCCATATGAAGGTACGTATCCATTACCGTATTTATTGTATTTTCCAAACGAAAAATTATACTTACATAAGTTTAAGCGTCGTTTATGGAAAAGAAAACGGAAATACCAAACACGATTGTAAAAATGATCGGAAACAGCGACCAAGCGTGATCACATTCTCATTCACTAATGTTGCAAATAAAAAAGCGTGTTAATGGTCGATTAATTTTTATGTAAGATTAGAATGCGTTCAGTAATGGTAGGAAATGCAGGTTGATTATTTCCTGTTGGTAATTATATTTTTATGCTAAGGTGCGTACAATGTACAGTAGCCTGGTAGGTAGTTGTTGCTTTTGAGTGGTACATTATAATACAGTTTTGCTAATTAAAGAGATACAGGAAATATGAGGGAACAACTAGAAAATAAATTGTAAATAATAGAATAAGAGAAATTAAGTGAAATAGTAGTTTAAGATATCAAATGAGATGGCTAAAAATGAATTTGTTTGGTCCCTGACAGTATTTTTTTAAGAAGATGTTTCCTTAAAAACTTAGCATCTCAATTAACTTCGATATATGATGGACTTTTAAGATTTTGTAGTCGGAAACTCATTAATATTTACATACATTTTGGAACGTGGCGCTGTACGGGTGCGAAACATAGACACTAGGTGATGCGGAAAAAAGGTTGTGTTACATGCGAATGATGAGGATATCGTGGATAGAGAAGGTTAGAAATGAAGAAGAATTAGAATGAATAGGAGAACAGAGGACTCTATGGAAGCCAATAAGTCAAAATAGGCGAGATAGGTTGGTAGGACACCTTCTCAGACATTAAGGTTCAATCAGAGACATATTAGAAACAGAAATAAGGAATTAAGAGGAGTAGAGGTAGATCTAGATTAGATTACTGTTCGCAAATAGTTAAGGATATGGGATGTTTTAGTTTTAGGGGAAATACGAAGATTAGCTCAGGATAGGAAGGAGTGGAGGGGCGTGTCCATCCAGTCATAGGACTGACGACCTTATGATGATGAGATTTTGACCCTATATTACCCAGTTTTTATATATAAACTTAATAAGCCTTTTTATGTTGTTTGAATTTTTCGGAAAATAATCATCTAGTAGTTCCAACGTATGCAAATTTCAAAATACCTTTGAAACGTTTGACCGTCCTTGATTGCAAACTTTTCCAATTAAAATTACAATCAGAGGTAACTGCATTACATTTTATAAACTATCCATTGTCCCAGTTTAATGAAAAAGTAAACGCTTCAAAACCAATCGAAAAAGAAAAAAAATGTAAAAGCAACTGTTGTGGGTAATAGTAAACATACGCAAAAACACATTTCGCTCTAACGGATTTGCTTTTATGTCTGGTCAATACCACATCAGCCGTAAAACTACTAGAGAAGCCAACTTACAAACAGAAAGTGATTCACAATTACTTAAAACGACTTTTTGTTCTCTTTTAACTAATACAAGTGCGAGCGCTGGCTAAGAACAAAAGTACGTACTTACTCAAGTACCGTTGTGTACTTGTTCCTTTTTTCATGGCCGTCTTAAATTACGCTCTCCTGTTATATGTATATTATACACAAGTAAAATAGAAGCTTGTTAAAGTTATGGGCTGTAAAACATGATAATTAAAACATTTGTAATTCGAAAAAGGTTGTTAAAGGTGTATGTTTGGAGCGCGGCGTTGTACGGATGCGAAACATGGACGGTGGGCGCGGCGGAAAAGAAAAGGTTAGAAGCGTTCAAAATGTCATGTTACAGGCGAATAATGAGGATACCGTCGATGGAGAAGGCTAGAAATGAAGAGGTATTAGAAAGAATAGGAGAA